CAAAAACTATCAGAGGAAATCACAGGAGTCCTGGTGTTAGGAATAAGCAGGACTGCAGAACATTTTTCACTCTTTTATAAAGAATTGTAGAAAATTCCATACCTTGATCAAATAGCTCTGGAGGTTCACTGTTGATGACTCCGTAAAAAGAGCTGACCACCCATCTTCCTGGTCACAGGTTCAACACTGTATTAATCTGCAGTGAAATAACAGTGCTTATACATTTTGAAGGAGCTCTGGTAGCATAGTGCCTAAGGTATTTGACTGCTAACCAGAAGGCTGGTGGTTCAAACCCACCAGCTACTCCTTAGAAGGAAAGTTGGGCAATCTACTTCTGTAGTGATACTGCCTCGGAAACCCAAGGAGGGGTCGCTATGAGTCAAATACGACTTTATGACAGTGGGTTTGGTTTGGTTTGGTTTTTATACATTTTTATATCTTTTGCTGTCATGCAAATTAAGTAATTAGAATTTTTATTTTATTTTTAAGAGAGAATTGGTGTTTTCCTTTTATTTATGTATTGCATTTTCTTTGCACAGTGTACTCATACACTCTAGAGAGATTAAGAACCATTACCAAAGGAGACTTTAGAGAGACGTGTTTCCCTTCTCAGTAAGCACTCAAAGAAATGAGAATTATAGTGAATAACAGCGGGCCCTGAAGAATAGCCTGAACCTGTAAAAACAGAGAAATTTTAAGAGTCAGCTAGATCTCATGGTGTGAGAGAATAGATGGCAGGATCTTCTGGGATTTTTATGAAAATGTGATTGAACTTCTAATTTACACAACTTCAGTCTTCAATGGAAAATATGACCTACACCTGGAAAAAGAGTTTATAATTGTTGACACCTAAAAAATTAAAGAACTATGACATGAAGAACTTATGCAGAAATGTACTTGGAAAATACACCCATCTAGTCGTAGTGGATTAGGCATTATGATATACAAATCTACTGTGGAAACATACAGTACATGTTCTCAATGCATTTGGACACCTTGTCTCAATTTATACAATGTTGTTGTTATGTGCCGTAGAGTTGGACCTGACTCATAGCGACCCCTCCTTGGCTTTCCGAGGCAGTATCACCACAGAAGTAGATTGCCCAACCTTCCTTCCGAGGAGTGGCTGGTGGACTTGAACCACCAGCCTTCTGGTTAGCAGTCAAGTGCCTTAGCCACTATGCTACCATTCAGACTGCTTGCAATTTAAAGAAATTTTGTGGTGAATTCTTGTTAAATGATAAATTGGTTCAGAATTTGTATGACAAATCAGAATTTTATTCAATGTATATTCTTATCTTGCGGTATAACTGACTTCTACTACATAAAATAATTATATTGGCCACCACCTTGTGGTGCCAAGTATTATTAAGTCCTTTATAGACATTATCTCAATCAGTCTTGTAGTCCCTGGGTGGCAGAAAGGTCACATGCTTGAATACTATCTGAAAGATTGGCAGGTCGAACCCCCCCTAAAGGGGTCTCCGTAAACAGCCTTGGTGATCTGCTTCTGAAAGGTCACAGCCTTGAAAGCCCTATTCTCTTGTGTTCTATTCTGCACACAAGGGGCCACCATGAGTCAGAACCAACTCGACCGGAACTAACAGTGTCAAATATACAATAAGTGAAGTAAGATAGGCTGCCTTGTACTTACTTAATAATCTATAGTGAACAGTTTCACATAGCTTTCACCACATCAAAGATGTAGTAAGGCTATGTAATTGGGTAATCTGCCACTGGCAATTGACAACAACAACCAATCTTAATTCCTAAATTTGAAAGTTGCTATAAAAGGCAGATCACACTTAAGAATGGGGAAAAAGTAATATCCCAAACCTGAGAAACAGAAAAGATCATTACTGGCAGTATTTTGTATTATTTTATCAATACTTTTTGCTATACATAAAAAGAAAAATTTTGTTGCTTGATGTCTCAGGACCCTATACCTACAAGAGATGGAATTTGTCTGCTTAATGTGACCCTTTAGGTATTTATGTGAACCACTGTTTCTGAGTAACAATCCATACCTTGCACCCGTGGGTGCCAGCAGTAGCACAATTGATAAAGGTATAAAAAATTTTGACAGATGTTCAAGATCAATCGGTCAGAGAAGTTTGCTTTGACACATAAGATTTTGATTTATGGGAGGAAACAATTCAGAAGGAAAGATAATTAAATGGGAAATCAACTTGAGTACTCTCACGTGTTCTTCCTTACTACTTCTATGATAATGTTGTGGAAGTAATGTGATTCTTTTTTGCAGGGACTGCTTACTCTACAGAATCATTTTCATTGCACTAAAACAAAACAACTGAAACCCAATCCCATTTATCTCCTTGCTGTCTCTTTTGTTTTGACTTTTAAAAATGAAAGTGCAAAGAGAGAGAACACATTTATCTCCACTCAACTAGTCTCTGCAGCATTTTCCATTAGTTTTAAATAAGGATTCTTTGTTTTTCTATATGACACACGGGAACAGCAATCACGTATCCTGAATTTGCAAGGATATTTGCCCTTAAAAAGGAGATCTGGTGGCATAGTGTTTAAAGCATTGGGCTGCTAACCAAATGATCGGTGATTTGAACTCACCAGCCACTCCATGGAAAAAAGATGGGGCAGTCTGCTTGTGTAAAAATTTAGTCTTGGAAACCCAAGGGGGGGTCACTATGAGCAGAATCAATTCATTGGCAGTCATTTGGTTTTGATTTGCACTTAAAAATTTCTGCTCTTTCCCTTCCTTGAGTACATTCAACCACGTGAGGTGAAATGACTAAACATAAAAAGGAATGTGGATCTTTTGGCTCTTGGTATAGACATCACCCACTTTTCAAAAGTTCGCTTTACACCACTTTGCTTTTACCAAAGACCTGTATTAGCACATTTTTGCTAACCAAAAGAAATGCGCAGAGGATTTTCCCTTTTATGATGAAAACATGAAAAGTGAAACTAGTGTTCAGTGCTTGTTTTTCAGTGAGCCATTAAAGGGGCAACTTGCACCCTGAGCAGCCAGAGTGGCTACATCAAGCTCTTTCCCCAAGAACAACACTCGGCTTCTCAGCATCAAGCTGCCGTAGCTGCGAGCTGTGTCTGTGAACACAATATGTTAGTGTTATTTTAGATTCTATGTGTTATTTAGTATGATTTGGTAGGTTATTTTTTGTGTCTAAAAATGCTCAAAATTTTTTCCCGTATAAACTAGTGGTATATTTCTTCTTCACTTCATGTTATTTCTGCATATGAAAGTTTTCATAGGAAGGCTCTACTTTCACATAATGGGGGAAACCTGTAACATGAAGTCAAAGATTTCATTTCACTTGGATTTACTATCAATGCCCATGGAGACAGCAGTCAAGAACTCAAACAGTGTATTGCATGGGGCAAATCTGCTGCAAATGATCTCTTTAGAGTGTTAAAAAGCAAAGATGTCACTTTGAGGAATAAAGGTATTTTGAACTGCCTAATATGCATGTGGAAGCTAGACAGTGAATAAGGAAGACTGAAGAATTGATGCATTTAAATTACAGTGTTGGCCAAGAATATTGAATATACAGTGACATTCCAGAAGAACGGACAAAACTGTCTTGGAAGAAATACAGCAAGAATGTTTCTTAGAAGCAAGGATGGTAACACTTCATCTCACATACTTTGGACATGTTATCAAGAGGCACCAGTCCCTGGAGAAGAACAGCCTGCTTGGTAGATGTTCAGCGAAACAAGGAAGACCCTCAATGATATGGATTGACACCAGGGCCACAACAATGGGTTAAAATGTAGCAATGATTGTGAGGATGATACAGACTGGGCAGTGTTTCATTCTGCCTATGGTCACTGAGGCTGAATGGACCCAAAAAATAACCCAAACTTACTGCCATTTAGTTGGTTCTGACTCATAGCAACCCCCATTGGGTTGCCGAAGCTGTAAATCTTTCTGGAAGCAGATCACCCCATCTTTCTTCCGTGGAGAGGTTGGTGGGTTAGGATCGCTGACCTGGTTAATAGCTGAATGCCTTATCCACTATGCCACCAGAGCTCCCTGAAAGGACTAGATAGCACCTAACAACAACAATCCAATGATGGCGATCACTGAACAGAAGAAAAGATCCTTTGTAAATATAATAACTAACCCTTGTACCCAGATACGCAAAGACTGAGGAATTTACTCCACCACATTCAGGTGCTCATACTCATTGGCAGTCACTAGGCACATTACTACTCTCTACCTGTCAGGATCACATAGGTAATCAGAGATTCATGCTGCTGGGTGTAGTCATTACAGCAAAGCTCTACAAATTGATAATTTTGTTAACTGATACGTTTTTAACATTCAAAACGAAAGGATTTTATTAGTCAGATGTTGAATAACCAGACAGTCCTTTCGTGCCCACCTACCTAAAGTTTATCACTGCCACTCAGTCCCTTTCACATTAGACTGCTTTTTTGGTGAATAAAGTAAGATAATATTTACTGAATTCTACTTTTGGTTGTATCTTCTGTCTATTTTCCTAGGCAGAATGTAAGGTCCCTAAGAGCAGAGACAAGTTAGTGCTTCTTGCAGGTATTCCCACAGAGCCTAACAGAGAGCAATCTTGGCACATTCACAGAGGGAACGAGAGAGAAAGTGAGTGAGTGAACATGTGTGCATGTGAATAATGATGGCAACAATAAATAGCTGAATTAGTAAAAAAAAAAAACCCTGGACAAAGTTGATTTCTGTGCAATATAAAAGGATCTGATGCTTGAGACATAGCTAATTATTCCTAAGGAGATTACAGCCTTTAAATCTGTGCATTTTGTTGCTTCAATTTATTTTTTTTATTTTTATTTTTTTTTAGATGCTAAATTAGGGGCCAGGGGATTTGGGAATAGAAAGCCACACAAGCTGCAAAATTTTTTTTTTTTTTTTTATTCAAGGGATTTCAATTCCAAATATAAAAAGAAAATTAAAAATCCTAATATTTTCACATATAGTAGTCTTAATGTACTAATATTTGTCATTACAGGTATAGAAAATGATGAAGAAATCAAACAGTTAGATGAAGAAATCAAAGAGCTAAATGAATCCAATTCTCAGATGGAAGCTGATATGATTAAACTCAGAACTCAGGTAACAGTTTTTCGAAGCCCTAAATGTTAGCTGTATATATGTACTATTACACCAGAGGAACATGACCATAAACCTTCAGAAAAGATGCCACTTCTTTTTTTCTTTATTTTTTATGCTTCATTTTTCTGCCTCATATGTTGGTCTTCTGCTGATATAATATCAGAGGTGATATTTGCTGTAACAGAGCGACCTCAGTTTTCTTGTTCACTGTTGTTTGTTGCTGTTTTTAAAGAAATACCATTATGAATAGTTATCCCCGGAGGACAGCCTGTTCCTGCAGCAGATTAGTTGTTTTTCTCCCAAGGTGTTTTAAGACTTTAATATTATTTAATTGCTATGTTTTACCAGACAATTTTGTCAGGATTACAAATAAAGGATTACAAATCTGGTAGCTAGGACTTTTTAATTCCTCAGTGCCTGACACTTGTGGAAAATCTTCTGTATGTGCAAATTCTCAGGGCCTCACACCTCAGCCTGAACAGGTACACAGAGATGTATAACTGGTAGGACTGCATTAAGAAAGGAAGGAGGGAAGAGACGTTTGTGGACCACCTGCCTAAATGCTAGATGTCAGATTGGCTTTAGTCATGCATGGGCAGTCCTCGGGTTACACACAATATCCGCTCCTACCTTTAAGGTAGGAAGTGTCTTTAAGAATTTATTGGAAGTGTCTTTAAGGATTTGTAAGTTGGAATGGGTGCATATGTTTTTTAATTAGCCTTACTCTCTGTGGGAGAAAGATGTGGCAGTCTGCCTCAGTGAAGACTTAGAGTCTTGGAAACCCTATGGGGCAGTTTTACTCTGTCCTGTATGGTTGCTGCGAGTTGGAATCAACTGCATGGCAGTGGTTTGGTTTTTCAGTTTGGTTTAGTGTAAGAAAAGGCTCAAAGCCTTTTCCATAATTTAAAAGCTGCATGTGCAGCAAGTGAAGGTGATTGTGATGAAGACTTTGTGCTAAATAAGGATTAGTTCAACTGTTTCACAGTGAGGGCAAATTGACATAACATTAAAGGGCAAGTAGAAATTGTCTGTAAATCAGATGTTCGTAACTGGGGGATTGCCTGTAACCCAGTGGCCTACAAGGTAAGTTCTACTAGCCTCATATTAAAGATGGAAAATCTAAAGTTCAGAGAGGTAAAATCCTTCAGCTAAAATAAACCAAGATTCCATAGCCCACCAATGACCAAACTAGAATTTGCACTCAAGTCTTTCTGACTTTCAAGTCACATGCACTGCCAAATGTGCCTTGCTGCCTTTCTAAGCATTCTGTTAGCCTTTAACTCACCTAATGTAAGCTCTAGGAGTACTTTCATTGCCGGTCAAACGATCCCCTTCACTATGTTAACACAGGTAGGTGAGGTATTTCTATGCTACTGGAAACAATATTTATACTTCTGATGTATCACTGTGTACTTGGACCAGTCTATTCCAAAGAGGGCATTTTCCCGATAATAGACAGTATTCATGAATATTCTTAGGAGATGCTTCCATAGTCTCTGTAAAGTTAGTTCAGTTGGCTAGGAATAAGAGATACTAGCAACTATCATTTACTCAATGTTTATTGTGTGACAGAGGTATTGTAAGGGCTTCACATACATTTATTAATGTAGTCCTCCAAACAGTCTCATGAGTTATGTCCTCTTACTATCTCTATTTTCATAGATGAAGAAACTGAGTCTGGGAAAGATTAAGTAACTTGGTCAACAGCTCTGCTTTATTGCCTGTTGCTGTTTTTCCATATAGTGGGCAACAAACTTTACTCCACCCCCAGGAGACAGAATGGGGACATCCTCAAGGGATGTGGCCCCTTCAAAATAACTGAATGGAATTTCCATGGTTCCCCTTCCAACTACAAAGGATGAAACAAAGGATAGAAAATCTCTACCCAGCTATGATTGTTGCTATTAAGTTGTTTTCATACCAATCTATTTACTGATACCAATGTTATCAGACCATTGATCTTTCCAATTCTGTACCTTCAACCCTTAGAATTATTCTGAGGCCTTAACTCCAAAAAACCAAAGCCAAACTCACTGCCATCAAGTCGATTCCAACTCATCAAGATCCCCTTTGGGTTTCCGAGGCAGTAAATATTTACCGAAGTAGATTGCCTGCTCCTCCTTCTGTGGAGAGGCTGGTGGGTTTCAACCCACCATCCTTCAGATTAGCAGTCAAATGCCTTAGGCACTACACCACCAGAGCTCCTTAGGCCTTAACTAGATTCTGCATATTTGCCCTGACCAAAGAGATTGGACTTATTCCTTAACATTTACCCAAACCTTGGGTTTGGAGGATAAAGTGACAACCATGTGTTGTTTCTCAGCCACTGGAGTGACCAAGTTCACAGAGGGAGCTTCTTGGTCCCAAAGAACTCCATAGCCACAAAAGTATCCCATGAACCTCTTTTTCTGGTAGAGAAAATGAGAAGACCAAATCAGCAACAATTTACTTGACTGGGTAAAGTAAAAGCGTCTGTTGTTGTGTCCTTGAATTGATTCTGAGTCATTCCAACCCCACATGACAGAGAAGAGCTGCCCGATAGGGCTTTCTTGTCTATAATATTTATGGAACTATATTGTCAGGTCCTTCCTGGGAGTCACTGGGTGGGTTTGAACTACCAGCCTTTTGATTAGCAGCCAAGCACATAACTATTTGCACCAACAGGGCACCTTAAAAGAAAAAATCCACCCTCATGTTTTATTTTGTTTATAAGGTTAAAAATCTAAAATTATTCATTCTGCTCTGGATGGCACATTTCAAAGCAATTCCTGATGACTCAGACTTTTGTTATCTGTCCTGTGATAAGTCCACAGCCTATTGGGTACTTTCAAACATAGCCACCACTTACAGCCATCAAGTCGATTCTGACATACAACAACTCTATGGGAGAGAGAACTGCCCCATAGGGTTTCCAAAGTTGTACATATTCACAGAAGTAGACTGCCTCATATTTCTCCCACAGGGCAGCTGGTAGGTTCAACCGCCAAGCTTTTGGTTAGCAGCCAAATATCTTAACCACTGTTCCACCAGACATGGACCTTTTAAAAACTCAGGAAGTGTGCCTTTCCTTCTTGTCTAAATCTTTCCATTCTAGTTTTAAAAAAAAGTTTGCAATGTCTTTTGTTCGTTGATTGATGGAAAACTGCTCTAGTCCACTTCCTCCCCACAAACAGTTCTCAACCTCCAGGTGTGAATAAAGCCTCAACTGCCAGAGTTTAGCAAAGGGCCAGGTGAGGATAAATGCTGTACTCACCCAGACCTAATGTTTCCCTTTAGTGAAGAATATGTAGTCCTACGCATCCTCTTTGGTTGAAGAGATATTTAGACTAGAAATATATGATAAGTCACTGTGCATGCTTGGCTATCGTCCTCAGGACAGATTTTTGCCTCTCTTTACAATAAAAAAAAAAAAAAAAAAGTTTTTTTTTACTTTTTTGATATCAGAGATGAATATTTGCTCCTAACTGCATCTATTTACATCTGATGTCAAAATTAATTTTAAGGGTTCATGTTTATTTTCATTGACTTGGCTAAGGAAAGAAGTGACTTCCTCAAATGTGTGTAGCAGTGGAGCTGATTGTACTATGAAAGGTAAGCCCAATATCTTAAAAGTGAGCTAGGAATACATAAGCAGTTCACAGTGCTAAGGACACACTGAGCCACATATGCCCTAAGCATTGCAGTTTGTGGGGCTGGAGCCGTGTGCTCAAGTACCAGTGAGGTTAAGTATTGAAGATAAGTCTCGACTATTGAGCTAGACAACTGGCAACATAAAGTCATAGTATCACTTAAATAGGTTAGAGCTTGTGCAAAACTTATTAGAAAATAACTTGCGTGGATGCCTTGATAACCTCCCTTTCTTTATATCCCCTACTCAACTGCCCACTTAGGTCCTACGTTCAGTCCGGCTTTCCAGATTTAAAAAGTAACACGTGCTCTCCTTTGCTAGCTCCTTTGCTTCACTTTTTATCTTTAGCTATTTTAGAGTGTACCTCCTGACTTGACTCAAAAATGCTAGAACATTAAAGATTCTGATGCTTTGCTAATAGTTCTTTCACTCCCATTCCCTTCATTCAGTAATATCAGAAAGAGGAGAAGATTCCACACTCCTGCATATTTTTGTCATATCTGACCTGAGACCAAGGCTAAGTTTTCCTGGGGACCACCTAACAAACTAAATCACACTATAACACAGGGAGGAGTCTGTGGGCTGTGCAAACAGTTATGAGCTACTACTAGCCAAAAGGTTGGCAACTCAGACCCACCCAGAGGCACCTCAGAAAACAGTCTTGGCAATTTGCTTCCAAAAGGTCACAGCCTTAAAAACCCTGTGGCGCATAGTCCTACTCACGTGGGGTCACTGTGAGTAAAATTGGACTCACAGCAACCAACAACAACATAACAAAGGAATTTATGCTTGCTCCCAGAATTCAAACCCATAAAAGGCAAGAATAACCAGTAAGATGTTTATGAGGTAAACAAATTATATAGTATTCTCCCTTGAAACAGTGAGTTAAGGAGATCAGAAATTGGTTTGGGAGCACTTTGGCTCCATTGAGGAGACAGAGGGACCCCCCCCAATGGGCCCAGAGAGAGGCCTTGAAAGTGGGCTCAGACACTTCTCAGTAGTTTCCCTTTTATCTGCTTTAGGTACTAGGGTTCCATATATAATCTTTCAATCTAAAATACATTCTGATACTTAATTTTTTTTTTTTTAATAAATGTATACTCTAACCTGAAGCCCTCATACTGCAACTGAAGACTCTCAGGCCCAATGAAGACAAGCCAAACTTCCAAGGTCACAGGCCAAGGTAGCAGTGAAACAGAAACCAGAACCCCGAAAAACTAAAGTAGCGGAGTTTGATTGTTTCTTTATTTAAACTGTTTGAAAAAGCATGAAGAATTATCTTTTGTTTTTAGTGTTATCCAATCAATGACTGCTTGTTGTTGTTGTTGTTAAGTGCCGTGGAGTCGTTTCCAACTCATAGCGACCCCATGCA